AGTTATATGCCTAATCTCAGTCATTGTGGGAGGGTATTATAAAAGTCATGGATACAGAGAGACACGGAAAAACTGGTGTCATTACTGTACTCAGTCACCACAAATTAAATATGAAAAACCGAAAGTGGCACTGAGTTCATCATCTCTTTTAACTTTAGTTGGCATGGCTTCTTTAGCGTAGCTCTTACACTTGAAACAGTCATTAGCTGTGGATTCTATGGTGGTATATGAAAAGTGATAAGCTTCTAGAAGAGCCAAAAAAAATATATGCAGTTTAAGCCAATCAGTTCCTGCTTGTCATAATACCTAATGCTTGTTGAGCATCTTATAGGTGTCAAGCATCAGCTTAATTGCTTCTCAAACCTGCAGAGTAAATAGTATAATTTTAACTTCTCAGATGACAAAACTAAGAGAAATCTAGTAACTTGCCCAAGGTCCCAAAGCTAGTGACTAGAGAGTTTGGATGCCTGTAGGCCTGATTCAAACGCCCTTCTTTTTCTACTGTCCCACACTGCATCAACTCCTTGAGGGATCCCACAGTCCTTGCTAACAGCCCAAGGCCAGTTGACAGAGTTGCTAACATGCAGGATACTGAGTAAAACTCTCAATATTCTTTTTCTAATGAAGGGACTATGTGTACTTGTTACCATTTGACTAATGTCCCCTGAAGATTTTCTGGTATTGAATTCTAATTGTAAATTACAACAGCCATCTAATGATTAAAGAAGAAAGCCACCAAATTCCTGGCATAGTTCTAGTCTCTAATGAGCATGGATAACTAATGTAGGGCTAGATGTTTTGTTTAGAATGGGGCATGTATTCCATGAGAGTAAAATATAGACAGCCTAAGATTCCTTATTAAAAGGAGAGATGGGGGAGACATGAAGAGATTATGTGACAGAGAGAGAGGAAGAAATACAGAAGGGGTGCTATAGTGATGGAGTTGAAGGAATTAAACACTCAGTAGACATTTGTGAGTGTCCTTATCACGTACTATAACATCAAAAAATTCTAAAATCTGCAGGTCCTCATTCCATGGCCCACAGAGGCAGAAAACAGTTTTGGGAATGCAGATGTGGACACATGCTAGACATTTTATGGTTTATGTTTGTATTCTGTGACTACATTAGAGATATTTAAAATTATTTCTTGACTTCTTTTTCCATCCCATGTTAATGCATTATTATATCTCTCTTTTCCCCCATACCTGTGAAAATGTATAATCAGGACCAAGGACAGATCCTGCATTGTCTTGGCCTTCCTTGGGTTTCTTCCAGCTGCCTTCTTTGTCCTGCTACCCTAGTGGGACACTAAAGGCCTGGCCTTTTGTGTTAGCTTAGGTTGTTTTTTTGTTTTTTGTTTTTGTAGGAAAGAGGAGAGAATCGATCTCTTTCCAAGGAGGAAGGAGAGAAGAGGATTCAGTGTGGATTGAATGAGCTAAAAAGCTCCTTTCTTCCTTTGAGGGTTCTCTTTATTAGAGGAGCCTCACCAGCTAATAGGATTTAGAATCATCACTAATATTATATTGAATAAATGATTGGGTGTTATACTTTTAAACATCCAGTATTTTGTAACATACGTGTTCAATAAATACATTTTTATTGTTAACCTGTATTCATGTTCTTTGACCTTTTGAAATCTTCATCTAGGTGCCGAAAAAGAAAAATAAATGCTTTTGTATTTACAGTTTATTCAAAGCTCTCATTAAAAAAAGAAAGATATTTTCAACAGTAGGAGCTCCTCACTCAATTACTCAAATATTAGATTCTTAAAACCACAATAGGAAAGGAGATGGTTTTTCTATTGCCGGAATTCCTAAAATGAATGCAATTTCTTCCTTTGTGTCTCTCTTCTGTGTCTTTCCCCAATCCATGTTCTGGTGCTCATGTTATTAGGACATATAAAAATGCTGTAGACATTCATGAGAAGTGTGTGCCAGTTCTGAGTGCTATTTTTTTAAGAAAGTTATTGATGTATTGATTTGGATATGGTAAGAGGAAGCTGACTACAATAAGGAAGTGCCTAGAAACCATACTCTGTAATTGAGGCTTGAAGCAAGTGGTGATGTCAAACCTAGAGAAGAAGAAGGCATGAGAGATGTGTTGATTGCTTGCAGGATTGTCATCTAGAAAGTTTTTTCTGTGGATGACAGACCTACAGCTGACATCAATACATGAACATTACAAGGAAATTTATTGTGGATAAGATGAGGACCCTAACACCAATGAATGGACATTACAAGGGAAAATATATCTGCTCAATAGGTTAAAAAGATTACAATTGGTTGTATTTAGCAATAGGATAATCTGAGTCCCATCCATGAGGCCAGAACACACTAAGTCAAATAAATGTCCTCAGAAAAGGCAAACATAAAGAAAGTCCAGGAGGAAAGACCATAATATCCAAAATAGTTCATGACTGCATAGCCAAATAGAAAGAAAATCTTGTCTAGAAGAAGTACTAAGGTAGGCTTATTTGACAGAGGGAGAAATTTGTTAGTAGCATCCCAGGTTGTAATTCTGCATTTTCCTAAAGTCACTTGGTTTTCTGTAGTAGATCTATAATAGTTTCACTAAGACAAATAATTAAACAGAATTATGTCAAATGATTGGAGAACCCAGTGTCCATTAATCCATTAATTCAGTAAATATTTACTTAACAAGCATTTAGGGTGTCCCAAGTACTGTTCCACATTTTCAGGATAAAACACATGAATGAAAACAAAGAGTCTACCTTTAAAGGAACTTACATTCTAGTGACTGCCTCAATGTTACAAATAAATATATAAAGAACGTGGACTCTAGCCAAAAATGATTTTCCCTTTTGCATGTATTGATATTTGTCAGATTTACCTTAATTCACTTCCTTAAAAAAGAATTATCTTTATAAAAATACATTTTAATAATCATAACCATCAAGTATTTATGTCATCTTTGTATATTGTATAAATTTCAAAAATTAAATGAAAATATTTTCTTTTTCTGGAAATCTTTCTGCTTTTCTCATGAAATAAAAGATATGGCTCATGTTTCATGTATTACAATATTTGGAACTTTTCTTATGAAGGAACTTGAATCTATAGTTACCATGTAATTCTGTCCAAAATAATTTATTGGCTTCCTAAACTATTATCTATGTTTTTTGGTGCCCACTTGGTTACGAATATAAAAGAATTCAGTGAAATATACAGTATCCGAAATTTAAAGTCACATTGAAAAAACAGATGGTACAATAATGTCATGAAGTCATTTTAAATATTAGAGAAATATTAAAGATGATTAGATTTATAGACCGCTGTCAAGATATGAGAACACTAAGGCAAAGTAACTTTCTAAAGCTTGGAACCTTGGTCTCCTGGCCCTGAAACGAGGAGTCTCTCTACCATTTCACACTGTTTAATTTTCTCTGCCATTTAAATAGGCTATAGGCTTCACTAAGATTTATTAAGAAGACTGCAAATGGCCCATGCTGCTGTGCCTAACACGGGAGTCCTTAGGGCACTGCCCCTAACTCTCCTGACCTATCAAATTCAAGATGTTTTGTCTTATTCCAACCAGCTGGCTGAAACTCCCAGTTATGCCATGGTTCAGCTAAATCTTAGCAGGGAGAGGGCTTTCTAGCTGCCAGTATTATAATCTGCATTAATTGCTGGAGAACCTTAATCAATAATTAGTTGACTTTCTGTATTTTGTAAGATATGAATAACATTTACACAATAATGGTTTGGGGTTTTGTTTTTGCACAGTTACTGGTCACCAAGCAGTATGTTAAATCTTTAACATGTTTTAACTATTTAATTCTCACAGCCATGAGGTGGATAATCCCATCATCTCCATTTTATCGGAAAAGACTGAAAGAGGGAATAGGTTGCTTAAATGTTATATGGCTAGTAGCATTAGAGTCAGGAGTGGAACCTAGGTGTTAAATGCCTCCTGATTTATTAACATTACCTTAATCCAGGCGTCCCCAAACTACGGCACCACGGGCCGCATGCGGCCCCCTGAGACCATTTATCCGGCCCTCCGCCGCACTTCAGGAAGGGGCACCTCTTTCATTGGTGGTCAGTGAGAGGAGCACAGTATGTGGCGGCCCTCCAACGGTCTGAGGGACAGTGAACTGGCCCCCTGTGTAAAAAGTTTGGGGACGCCTGCCTTAATCTGACAGCAAAAGCCACAGACCAGAGAATTTAGATGATCTGTTCAGGATTACAAGTCTGGTGAGGGGTGGGGGTGAATCACACTTTATATCTAATTTTGTGTTGCTTTGTAATGTAAGTGTTCTTAGAATGACTCCATCTGCCATCCTGAGTTCTTAATCTAACATTTGTCTTACAATGAAAAAGTTTATATACTTGGAGAAGTAGGTAGTGTTAAAAAAGAATAATACAAATAGGCATTTTAAAATTTGTTTTGACAAAATTTTCTTGTAATAGCTGTTTGATTTCTATGGTAATTCTGAATGTTAAGCCAACAATTTTTTATACTTGTTGGTAGCAGTGCCTTTTTTCATATTGTGAAATCTTTGGGCCTCTCTTGTGTAGAGTTGGTATCTTTATCTGCCTGTTAAGCTTATTATGTTGTATTATCCAAGTGATATTTTTTTAAAGTCCCTGATATTCAATAGTGATTCATTTTTTTATCATTAAGGCAGATAAACCAGGCTATTCCTGACAGTGTAGTGGAGTTCATTTTGCTGCTTTTAAAAAATTGTGTCCAACCTAATTTCACTGGAGGAGAAAAACTCAAATTTCCTCTTTGATAATGTAATGATATAAACTTTTCCTTCATAGAAATTAAACAGGTTAAAAATCTTACCAGTGACTTTCCAAGGGTCAGTTATATTTTTAGAAAAATGCCTAAAAGTTTCCAAGGCTTTGTTTTCAAGACAAATCTTCCTGTTCTGTAGCATTTGGTTTTGTGTTTTTGAAGCAGAGTATAAATAACAGTCCATTTAATGAAATTCAGTGTTGACTCTTCTCTTCTCTCTTCTCCCTCCTCCAGCTCTTTCTCTTTGTTGTCTGGAACTTTGAGCTCTACATGATACCACTGGTTTTGTTGTTATTATTGACATGGAACTACTTCTTGATAATATCAGGGAAAGATAACAGGCAACGTGATACAGTAAGTCTCTACTTTCTTACTTGTATGTGTTTTTGTTCTTACTCCAAATCCCTCTGACAAGATCAACATTGAATTTGTCTTTACAAACCAGAAATTCTGTCTATAAATACTCAAGTTTAGAGGAAAGTTTTATCAGATCAAAACTAACAACGCTTTGGTCCTACACAAAAGTATTCACCTATTTCTAACATTACTCCTCCTGGCAGAAACTAAAACAGGGAGCAACACCAAAGAATGAGCTATGATTTTCAATCAAAAATGAATGTTACCTCAAGTAATTATTTTATTCTCCTTATTTGTTATATCTTAATGAAACCTGATTTAAGATACATTGTCACAAAATTATCAATGATCAAGCTAAGTGAATATATTTTACTTAAGACAGATTCTTTGTGCTCCCTTTCATTGGAAGGAATGAAGATTGATGGTTGTTAGCCTGAAAACGTGTATAAAGTACCTTAATTCAATGAAAGTTTGCTGGACAACAGTAAATATCCTTCCCTGTGTCAGGGGTGTATTGAGATACCAGCTTAGGGATGAAGAGATTTCATTTAACCTGGGGAAAGTAATACTGAATCTACCCGTCCTCTTTGGCGTTTTTGAAAGTAGAATGTGTAAGACAACCTTCTCTTTCTGGAAAAGTTTTAGACTAAGAAGCAGAAGCTGGCCATACTATAATGACATTTGTTGTTCTGCCAAGCTTTGTTCCACTTGGATTGTCTATCACTATGCCCCTAGCAAGCAAACTTCAAAAATCTTTCCCACATGTAAATAAATGGGGGAAGTGTCTCCTCCAAATATGATATTTGCAATTTGATAACTCAACAATGGACAGCTTTGAGAAGAATTGAAAGGTTGACAAATGTGAGAATCTAATTGGTCCTCAGCAGATTACATACTTTTTTTAAAATTTTGCTATTAAGGATCTCTATTTGATTTATGATCTGTGGATTATAATAGACCATAAACCAAATCGATTTTTTGCCAAAAGTTGTGCCAAGTACTGTGCCCATAATGATCCAGAGTTATTTGATCATCAGCTGAAAAGTAGCATATAATACTTTATTGTAATAGTAATATCATAAAGGTTGTATACATACCTTCAATGTAAAAGAACTTTTCTTTTAAATAACAGAAGCAAAATACACTTCAAATAGCAATGAAAACAAAATGTAAAATGCTTCAAAATAATTTCCTTTAGACATGGCAAAGTTGCCAACAACACACCATGTTTACTTCTCTATTATATTTCTGTCATTCTTACTAGATTATAAATTTGAGGGAAGCAACTCGTTTATCTTTGTATTTGCCACTGTCTGTAGTACCTGCTTTGCAAATTAGATGTGTTCGAATCCTTCTTTGTAAAATATATCAAACCAAACATGAGATTGCTAATAGAGATTTTAATGGTTAGGCAGCATCAATAGACCAGAAGTTACTAGTATTATTGACAAGGATTTTATGGATATATATTTAAATTGCACACTGAGAGACAAGCGCTAAATGCTATAAGCATTGGTATCATGGGGACTAATAGGTACTTTTGTCAATTAATTCAGGATGCTTTCTTTAAGAAAATCGAACTCCTTCAGACAATTGCTTTTTTGTCCCATTTACTTCATGAAGATTGTTGAGAGAGAAGAATATCTACTTTTCATTCAGCTGCCTTGAGTCCAATTTGCAAATAAGATTATTTGCAAATAGGAAAAATTGGTAATTGAGTTTTAGCTTCTTAATTCTGTAAGGGGATTATCTTCAATATTTAGTCATTGGTTTTAGTATTCTTAGTGAGAAATTCTGAAACCATAGACTTTGCTTGCTGTCTTCTCCAGAATATACCTGGCTTGGCTGGAAACGTCCACTTTCAGAAGAGAAATAGTAATGTATAATGTATCATTTTGTACTTAAAATTCTCTAAGACATTTTACAGACTATTGAAAAATTGCATATTATGTAATTTTTATCAAATATAGATTCAAAATAGTATTTACCAAATATTTTCCTTTTAGCACATCTCCTCTAGCAGGCTTCTCTTTTAGCCATGGACATTTTCTTCCCCAGCACAACCCACTGTGAAAGATTCTGTAGTCTAACTCTCATGGAATGCCAACTACACTCCATAACTCCCAGTAATTGCCTTTTATTTGCCCAAAACACACAGATCCACATATTCTGTTCTTTCCAGGCACCAGAGCAGCAATCACAACGTTTCATTCAACTTCTTATTCACTGGCTCAGTTAAGGCCTTACGTAACTCTTAAATCCAATTTGTCTAATTATGTGTTTGCTGGCATATCCAGCTGTGCATTTGAACTGGTTGCTCCTTTTGAAAAGAAACCTGGATTATACTTTGCTGGTTATAGAATATATATATGTATGTATGTATATGTGTGGATACACACACACACACACACACACACACACACACACACACACACACATGAATTTAGGTAAAGTGTTTGTAGGGGTTGCCATGCTGTGACTAAGTGACTCTCCTGCATACTGCATAGCACTGGAAGGATGGTAATTTCCCCTAAGTCCTTACTGATATCCCAAAGGCATCATAGAATCTTTCAGCATATGTGAAAACTTTACAGGATTTCTGAGGTGCATTAAGCATACCGTTGGTTGATTCCAAACCAGGAAACGTTCTGTTTTAGGAAAGAGAGACAGAGAAAGAGAAAGAATTTTCTGCCACCAAACATCAAACCAAAACAAAACAAAAATCTGTACATTCAGCTGACAAAATGTAATTAGGATGTAAACTCTAAAAGAAAAATCAAAATGACCTCCGGGTTTGTATAGCAAAGAAAGAAAAGGAAACAAAATTTCTGTGACATAGAAAGTTGAAGAAGAAAAGAAACATTGTGAAAGTGCATAGAAAGGTAAAATTCTGTCTTCAACATATTGGCTGATAGCTGAGATTGATACCAAATAGAAAAGGCTTTCTTTGTGTGTTTATTGTTTAAGGAGAGTCTTTCCTTTCTTGGAGACCCTTAAGAATACAGGCACTGAACCCCCATACCTTTTCCCCACCATGGTGCCCATTCCAGTTTAATGAGCAAAATCAGATGTAATCCTTGCTGAATAAGTTTTGCAGCATTTAATGAGCTGAACCTGTTAAGGACAGAATAAGTAAACAGCCATTCCTGAGGTTAAAGCTGTAGACTCAGAGGGTGCCCATGTGAAAGAGGCGTGGTTAAAATGGTATTTCACCTCTGCTGTTTCCTAGTTGGACTTGTTAAAAATAAGCAATCTTAAGTCTGAAATACCTAGACTGGGACCATGACATTAAAATTTCTAGGATGAGAATGGTTAGGCTTTTCCAGAGAAAACCATTTAAGGCATGCTTCATTCAGAAATGTCCCTGGCATGAAAGGGATTTAAAGATAGGAATGTCATCCTTCTCCTGGTTGAGCTGTCACTTCAAACCCTGGGAAAATTCTCACTGGTATTACCTATTAGGCTTGTACCAACTATGCTGTACTGTAGAGAAAAATTTCGAAAGTGGAAGAGTAGATGCCAGAAAATGGCTTTTACTTTGGATTTTAAAACTACTGAACCATCATTACACCCTGGGCTCTGTGTGAAGTACTTTATATTCATCATGTTATTTAGTCCTCCTCCAAGAGAGAGAAGCTGATTGTGTTAGCCCAGCCAATGGGTTGGATCCTTCTAAGTCAAGTGACTCCCCCCAACCAGGTCCCTTCATCAGTTGTAAGCAAGGGGACATGCTCATGTAGACAAGCATGGCTGCAAGAGCTCTTTCTTGAGAAAGGAGAATCAAGTCTCAGAGAATGAAGGTAATAGGTTGGCCAAGGAAACCAGGCATCTATTGCACACCCTGTAAGTATCGTTATTTCTACTGCACATACAGGAAAATAGGGTCAGAAAGATAAAATAACTTACCCAAAGATGCACAGAAACTGTCAGAACCAGGATTAGAAAACAGAACAGTCTGTTTCAAGTTTATACTCCAGACCACCAGTCATCATGTTTCCTCTTGGGGCTATATCCCACCTCTCCCTGGGCATTGTTACAGCAAGTTTCTCCCATGAATTACAGAAAAGCCAGTAACAGTAACTCTACCTTCAAGCCAATATGTTAATGGAAAGTATTAATTTTCCCACACTACTCACCTCATGTCTTTCATACTTCTCATTCAGGGAAATAGAAAGGATATTCATTAAGCAATTTCTATGTATCAGGCATCCTGCTAAGCCTTTAAGAGACATCACCTCCTTTTATTCTTTACAATAATTATATCAAGTAAATAATTCTAAATAGTTTCATGCCTGTTTTACAAATAAGAAAATTCTGTATCAAGGAGGATAAGTAAGGAACACCCCAGAGCAAATGTGATGTGAATCCAGTTGTGCCATGTGGTAAAGTCTCAGGCTGTATCTATGGTACATGCATGGGCATTCCTTTCCCAAAAGACTGCTTTCTTAGTGTCCAGGGTCTTGTATGGAATCTCAAGTGTCTCCAAATTCCTTCCTTCAAGGTACTCAGTAACCTAACACAAATTGGTGCTGGTCATCTGTTCTATCCCAGGTGCCCCCATTAATTTCAGAAGCATTCATGACCAGGAAGACTACCTTCCATTTACCCAGATAAGCATGGGAGGAGTCCATCAAAGCTGACTTCTTCATATTTGCGAATAAAGTTTTTGAATTTCTTTGACACAAAAAAATTCTTCAAGCAGTGTTTTCTAATTACACTTTAAAAGAACATTCATTTTTACTGTCATGATATTCCTCCCACACAACAATCTCAGTTATCTAATCAATGGTGGCATTAAAAGACTGAAGAGTGGGGCAGATCAATGAAATCATTCTCTGACTCATGATACGACTGTGACACAAATTGAGACAGTCTGCCTTGCTAAAATACTTTAGGAAACACTGAAATGTTAGCTCCTTCTCATGATAAAGCATTTGTTTCTTCATTTCCCTTTTAGAATAGTACTGAATATTGTTTCCCATTAGATCTGTTCCAAG